GGACGATACCGGTGGTACGACCGGAGGCGTACAGAGACAGGACGGCCTGGATAGAGACGTAGAACGCGGGGGCGTTGAAGGTCTCGAAGACGATCTGGGTCATCTTCTCTCTGTTGGACTTGGGGTTGATGGGAGCCTCAGTCAAGAGGACGGGGTGCTCCTCGGGGGCGACACGGAGCTCGTTGTAGAAGGTGTGGTGCCAAATCTTCTCCATGTCGTCCCAGTTGGTGACGACACCGTGCTCGATGGGGTAGCGGAGCGTCAGGATACCACGCTTCGACTGTGCCTCATCACCGACGTACGAGTCCTTCTGGCCCATACCAATCATGATACTGATTCACATGTTAGATCGCGGCGCGGAGGGCGGAAATTACCGCAGCGAGGGCGAGAAGCAGACATACCCATGGTGGCGAGGGCGACCGACGATGGAGGCTACGTGGTGGTTAGCATCGACAGCACACGCCGATTGATGACCGCAAATCTGAGTACCCCCTGAAGAGGCGGATTGCGGTCTGCGGATGGGGGGACTTACGGAAGACAGCTCTGGGCGCATCGTCACCGGCGAAACCGGCCTTGCACATACCCGAACTAGGCTCTAGTTAGATTCAAATTCATCGGTATGGATATGGAATCGATGGATGGAGAGCCAATGGGTTTATCGGGAGAGCTGACGTTGGCCAGATCCCAACGAAACCCGGGAGGCGGAATGGTCGGTGAGACGGCGGGGACAGCTTACCCATTGTCGATAACGAGGGCAGCAACCTCCTCTGTGATGCGGAAACAAGTCAGCGATCATGTCCTGGAAGCAGACGCAGGACGAGGGATGCCGAGCATCGCGACGAGAGCCGGCGGCGAAGGCATCGATCGTTTCGGAGGGCCATTGAGTTGGCAAAGGAGATGGCGTCACGTACCTTCCATTGTGAATTACGTGGTCGTTAAGACGGGGGAAATAGAGTAGAAGATAGTAACAAGGAAAGCTCACTCGATTCCGGAATCGTGCGAGCGAGATGGAACTGACAAAGTCCTGAGCGGATGGCAGAGAACTTGGGGAGAGCACGTCGATGGGTGGTGAGGTCGAAAGTGGGAAAGGTTACGGGAAGATGAGAGGTAGTCGATTTTGGGTGGAGGAGGGGGGAAGAAGGAGAAGAGTGGGAATGGCCAGCACAGTGTGAGTGGTGTGCGGTGAGAGCGAAGGCCTGGGACGTGGAAGCGGTAGCGGTGCGCGGAGCGGTGCTGCTGAGGCCTCGTTGGCTGGCGGTCGTGCGCTGGCGTGGATGTCAGAAGGAGACCTACTAACCCGACTTGTGGGAGAGCGAATGGGGGGCTGCTGGGCAAGCAAAGGTGGATTTCTGGGTAGAGGCAGGCAGGCGGGAAGCAGGTGCAGCACACCTCAGCAATGATGAGCAAAAGGCGACACTGTACAAGTGGCAGAAAGTGGCAGTTCCCTCGGGGGACTGGGTTGCCGCTTTAAGGGCTAAATGAGGCCCGTGCTTGCTGCTCTCGCTGCTCAGTGCTTGGATTGGGCAAGTAGTGTGGTGGGGTACGGGAGCGAAGGCAGGCGGTGGCAGGACACTGGAGCAATTCGCCGCTGGATGGGGACATTTAAGTTGCGATGGTACCTTTCAATTTGGTGAGACCAGCCGCAATGTCCGAGGTATCTGGTCTGTTGTGTCCTTTTCGTCCGGCCTGGGCCGCTGGAGGGATTGGGATTGCTGGTGGCTGGGGGGAGAAGGAGGAAGAAGAAGACGCGCTGCAAGCTGCTGCAGGGCGAGACGAAGTTGGTGATATTCGAGGTCGAGACTTGGCCTGGAATTTGCTGTCGTATTGCACCTCTTTTTGATCGCGCAGCACCCTTCACTTTTCTATCCGCACAGTTCTCTTTATTCGGGCTGCCCGTGATCACGCTTCTACCTATCCGAGATGGTCTTTGCTGTCAACAGCCATCATAGCCCTTCGTCTTATCCAGGTAGCGACTTAGACGCCCAGGCAGCGCATTTACGCCGCTGGCGGCAAGGGGCATTCGTCACCCTCGCCATCCGTACCTGGCAGGCAGCTTGAAACCGACGGTGAGAGAGGGACACACACGCACGCTCACCTCCATGGCCACAACCACCACCACGGGCCAATCGAGAGACCGCCCAAGCCACGACCCATCTACAGTGCCGTTGCCTCCCGGCGACTGTGGCGTGTCTAATATCTTCAAGGGCCTCCCCACACCGACCGCCTTCACGCACGCTACCGCCTAATAAAAAATGCAAGGTTCACCCAGGCCTGAGCATGGGAGCATGGGAACAGCTTGGCCAAGGCCATCTCGCCAGCGCGAGGCCTGCCAGGGAGCCGTGGAAAGGTCGCGGCACAGCATCGCGGATCCGTGACCGTCCCGTTTACTTGCTCGCTCGCTCTTTCACTTTGGAACGGGGGCCGCTCTTGTTCCTGTTCCCCGATGCCCACGTGAGACTCAACAAGATTCCCGCCCGCCGCCGCCGCGGCTTGGTTCATGCTCGACGACGGCCGCAGCGGGCGGATGTGCGCCAGCGGCCAGCAAACCACATGTGAACGAAAAGCATCCTTCCGTTCCCCGATGCCCGAGTCGTACGTCATCTCTCCCGTCAGCAAGAAGAGAGTTTGGGCGATGGCGCCAAGCAGGCATCTCCCATCTTCTATTTTGGTCTCATGAACAGTTGCTTCTCCTTTCCTCTGCGTGGATTGACGGATGCCCGGTGCAAAGACGGTAAGAAGCACATCGCAATCTAGGTACCTACATAGGCGCCGACACCGACACCGACGGCCCTGCCATCTGCAAGGGCCGTACTCTCAGGGGTGTCAACGCGGCTCTCACGGTCCAAATTGAAGACCCGCGTACGGGAAACTTTTGCGGGAACGACGGCTGGGGTCAAAGGTAGCCGGCTGCAAGCCAGTGGCCTAGCAACCAGCCTCGCATCCCCCTATCGCATTCTGATTGATGTCCAGCTCGCTCTCGCCTTTGAGGCGAATGTGCAGCTATCCAGCGCTGCGTTTCGAGCCTCGTGTGGGATCCCCAACAAGAAACGGTGCGAGGAACACAATACGTTTCCAGTGTGGCTGAGCTTCGGGCTGCCGGGCGGTGTCTCCGTTGATCGGGCACTTAGTCCAGATCGCAACCTGTCATCTTCGTTCTGTGTACGGGGGAACGCATAAACAGTATGTTGCCGCAACTTGAGCATTGCACACCAGAGCAAGCGAGAACCAAAGAATTGAGTCTGGCCGAGATGCAAGGCTGAAGGAGTCAAGTCTGACGTTAGAAACGCAATTGGATGCAACGTAACCAACAGAGTTGCTTCTCGCTGCGAACTCGAGTGACTTCATCGCTCACTGCTCAGCTGTCAGCAAGCCGCACGCCGCTAGCTCAGGGAAGCTCCCTCATCTCTTAAAGCGGCAATGAGGGGCACCACATTCTCAATGGTGGGGCAGGGAACTTTTTTTTGGTTCTTCACCAACCACCGTAGAGCATCAGCAACTCATCACTCATCCCTCAACGACACGGAAATAGGGACTCCAGAGTTACGATACACCCTCAATTATGACTGGCAGGCGGGAAATGCCAACTCAGCATGCTTAATGATCCGATCTTGGGCAGGAAGTGTTGGCAATGGGTCGGAACGCTGCGGTCAACGTGTGTTTTCTGCCCAAGTTTCAACCGCCAATCTGCATAAACGTGCACTGAGCTGGCCCTGATCAGGGCTCTCACGTGAGATCTGCGCTAAGCCCTTTTGAGATAAGAAACCTTCTTGAAGGTTCCAGAAAAGGGCAGCAGTCAGTGCAGCCAGTCAGAGCAGTGACCAGGGCCCTGAGTTATGGAGAACTTTTTGAGGTGTTGATGAGATTCTCAGTGAAAGTCGATGAACGTTCTTGAATCTTATGTGATTCAACGACATCAACTCATATACCCCTACGAGAACCATTTCAACTCGACAACTCATAAGAACTTATTACGAAGCATCTGACGCATTCGTTAAAACCAAAACATTCACAAGCACAATTAGCCCACCACAACTTGGCATCATGGACAGAAACCTGAACGAGCTCCTCAAATGGAGTATCGAGAACCAAGAGACCGGCGGCCAAAACGGTGAAACCGGCCAAAACGAGCAGGCTGCCCGTGCACCCGCCAGCAACCTCAACCCCGAGGCTATCGCGGCCCTCTTTGGCGGCGGCCCCAGCGACGCTGACCTCATGAAGGCCTCCATGGAAGCCATCACTTCGACCGACCCAGAGATGACTCTTGACAACAAGCTTGTCGCCTTTGACAACTTCGAGCAGCTCATCGAGAACCTCGACAACGCCAACAACATGGCCAACCTCGCTCTGTGGTCCCCTCTTCTCAGCTGCCTCACCCACGACGAGCACGACATGCGCCGCATGGCCGCCTGGTGCATTGGCACCGCCGTTCAGAACAACGAGCCCAGTCAGGAGCGCCTGCTCGCCATGGGCGATGCTGGTATCCCCACCCTTGTGTCGATAGCTACTAAGGACGGCGAGAAGGAGGCCGTGAGGAGGAAGGCACTCTACGCCCTCAGCTCCGCTGTGAGGAATTACCAGCCCGCCATGGACCTTTTCACGGACGAGCTGGCCAAGAAGGGCCTTCACTCTTCTGGCAAGGTTGAAGCCGTTAACATGGATGAGATTGACAAGGTCATGGACGGGCTTAGAGCCAAGATTACGACATAGAGAAATGACATTAGAGCATTCGGTATGGACTTGCATGGGCGGCGTTTGGGGCGGTGCGACTTAGGGGATTCTGACGTACAGGACGACCAAAAAAATGGGAACATGGGCTTAGATGATCACTACTTCGTAAATGAGATTCACGATTGCGAAATGGAAGTAATTTCATCCAGATGACGCTTCGTTAACGTGTTTGGGAGTGACCTTTTTGTTGGTACAGTTCGTTTACAAGATTTCTAGTCATTTGGTATTGTACATTTTTGTTTTATTTGGACACACCCTTGCACAACCGCCGCTCAATCCCTGAACTTTCCATGGAACGGAAGACCAAGGGCCTGGAGCAGCAGCCTAGCCTGTCGGTTTGACGTGGCGGTCGTTTGGATGTGAATATGGCAACCTGGAATGAGCTTGAAAATGTTGTCAGCAAAAGAGGGGGTCATGCATCATAGGCAGCTGAATTAACTCACCCTGGCGGGGTACATGTCATAGTTGATTTGGAGCTCGGGGAACCACGCAAGGTCATCAGGCTTCAGACCGAGGGAGAGGTTGCCGTTGGCGTCACCAGTGGTAGCCTCGACACCGGGCCAGTCCTTGATCTTGGGCAGGACAAGGTTGATGAGCTTGTCGAGGAACTCGAGGGCCTGGTTTCCGTAAATGGTGGTCTTGACACCGGCCTTGTCGCCCTTGCGAATCTTCCACTGGACGACGTTGGTTGTGACCTCAGTGATCTCGGGGCAGGAGCCGCTGATGGACTGGATAACGGAACGCGCGACGTTGAGCGTGCCGTGGGGCATCTTGCTACCGGGCATGAAGGCATGCAGCGAGACGGCCTTGATCTGGGGGATATTGTGCCAGGTGACGTTCTTCTCGAGAAGGTCCAGCTTGCTTCCTCCTCTGGGACCGCGGCGGGGACGGTTGATGTTGTACGGCGAGGAGTCGTCCCACTCACGTAGTCGCTCGCGCTCCGGACGGTCTGGGGTTCCCGGGGGCTTGTGGAGGTAGGTCATTGTCAACAGGTCGGAGGCGACGGTGGACTCGTAGGTCTGGCGCAGACGGGGGAGGTTGAAGGGACCGGGAACGAAGTCTCGTGCCGTGGGGTCGGTGGAGGGTGGTGATTGAACGGGGTGCAGCGGGCCGCGGTCGTACTTTGGGGGGTGGAATTGGTATCTGTTCATGGCATGTCAGTACTCTGCTTGTGCGCTGATCTTTCGGAAACAGGGACATGCCTCTTTCCGGGAAGCTGCTGTGGCCTCTCGGAGATGCGCTTCGCCGTATCGTATGCCTTCACGGCGGCCTCGTCTGGTCCTGGGACACCTATGGACGAAGCGGGCTCAAGGTCAGCCAGCTCGGGAGCCGCCTTTGAAGCGCTGGTGGCGGCGCATCGCTGGGCGACGAGAGGCGTCAATTGCCATGGCGAGCGCTGCCTGCAAATAGCCCGACCTAAGCGGGAGCTTTCCCGTAGTGTGGCCATGGTCTGTCGTGTGTACTGTCGCAAGCCTCACCACGTCTACGAGGGCATGTCGCGATGCTGGAAATTTCAATCTCGAAATGTTCAAGACAGGTCCGTGCCACGTGTGGCTGGAGAGCTTAGTGCGGGACGACCCCGGATAAGATGTGGCTTGATCTTCCCGGTCTTATCTTATCGCAGTTGGACCGTGAGGCATCCCTGCTTCGCCAGCACTAACACCGAACGCACCGAAGGAGACTTTGTTACATCACCGGACGGGAGCGAACGTGGCCAGCAGCACCCGACTCTAGTGGGCTTCCGGGCGCGGCGGACATTCGGGCCTTCAGACCTCGTGGGAGAGGGTGTACTGTCGTCATCTGCAATCAGGCCGCCGCCCGTCGTCCATCGTCTTTCCTTTCAGCGCCCATCGGATTCTAGCGAGGCGCCGAAGATCCTTTCTGCAGAAGCGGATGTTTGTCGCTCACGCCGTCCTTGGATTACGTAGCAGCGATCATTCGGCCCCTCAGCTGAATTGACAGTCACCAGTCTCATGGGTCATCAAGCGCTGTAGAGTTGGGAAGCGATGTGTTTGGCTTTCTCGTACCGAGCTGACAAGGTGGGCAGAGGATGCAGAGCAAGCTCTCAAGACGCGCATACGCACGATCAGCAAAAGGGGAAAGATGGGACGAAGGGATAGGGAAGATGAGCATTCAAGCATTGTACATCTCGATGATGGGAGGCGGCGCGCTACCATGCAGGTTGCCTGATTGTACACCCTAGATGGACACGAATGCGAACGTATGCGGTTTACGCGGAGCGCATCTCTCGTCGGGTTCGAGTTTAGTGTCACATCCAACGTCTAACCGACCGACCACGGGGGGCTTGTGAGTGACATATTGCGCCACGGAACTTTAGGCCACGGGCAACCAGTTGAATGACATCTGGCGCGTTGTACACGTTGAGCTTCGTGGCCGTGGTGGCATACCCTGGCACTGGGTAGTAGATTAGAGTTGCGGATTACAGTTGAGCCTCCTGGGGCTTGCTGCTGGGCTGAGTGAGGGGAGAGGTGATGCAGGCGAGCTATTCTATTTTGGCAATTCGTCTGTTCTTTCAACCAGGCTGGACTCCGAAGTCTGTTCTCTGCAAATCAAGAACACAGACGGGGGATGGGGGCTGTTGAAACTAGAAGCATGGGCCACAGAGCCATGAGGTCGGATCTGCGCAAGTAAAGGACGCGCCAAGACGTGTGCCAGAGGGTATCATTGCAGCCATTTACACGCCTCACGAAACATGAGCGAGACCTAAGGAGATTTTGGTCCAGCCGAAGGTGTGCTTTTTCCCCGCCACGCCAAGGGTCCGGACTGCTATCCAGAGTTGGGACAGGGGATCGAATGACTTGTGGTTGATATGATGGATGAGTTGCCACTTTCATCTTAGGGACTCGGGAGGCGTGATCTTTTGCGGATGTTGTTCCCACGATGGACAGGCCTTACGTATGACGCCTCGCGTGGATGTTGGATGTTGGGGCAGACAACTTTTACTCATAGTTTAGGCGAGGTCATATGTAAGAAACGCGGCAGCCCGGGGAGACAGAGAGCCAGACAGAAGATTCTGGCTTCTCTTCTGCCTATTGCATCCACCCACAGCGTCCGCCAAGTCGCTTGCAAACTAGTTACCTAGATCAACGAACAGGTACACACGTGTTGGTGTTGGTAAGCCGTTCGGAGTCACGGTCATTCCTTGACGGACGTAGAAGCAGGGTGTGTTCATCGGGTCGAACAGCAAAAAGTCCGCCTTGCCGCCGCGGGCTGTCGACCAAGGCACTCCCAGCCCGGGCAGGCTCCCGAGTCAACTGACGGGCAAGTCCGCAAGGAGCACCAGGTGCCCAGGAGGACAGTTTCTAGTGGTTGGAAGTACCGGTGCGCCCAAGCTTTACCGCGCCGGTACCTGGGCCTTTAGGCGATCTCCACCACAAGGTGCCACCTGCGGCCCTGCCAGACCTGGCCACCCTGGACCCCGAATTTTTCGAGCCAAAATCCGCGAACCACCATCTGACCCTGGATCCTCCTCCTTGTCCCCATCGCCTGCTGGCTGTAACGGGTTGGCACACTACGGCGCCTGTTGAGTGAAGGGCTCGCTACCTTAATTGCTTCAGCTGTCCCCCCCCCGGTATCGACCAACACCACCACATCGACATTTTCTCTCAGTATTTTTACGACCTGCCTTTTAGTTCTGCATATTCTTTCTACCTAAGGAGCGACCCTTCGCGACGTTCGACACCAACATAAGACCGTTGCAAGTCAGCAATTCCCCTTTTCAGCGTCCCGTCGCTCGTACAGAATACGCTGACAGATGGAAAAGTCCAGGCCTGATCATCCAGCCCCGTCTTTTGCGACCTGCGAAAATCTGCCCCGCCGAGACGCGCCAGAGCCCCTCCATACCTCCTGGCATACATTCTTCACTCTCAACCATTGCTCTCCACTCCCGTACTGCTGGCTGATGGGGGTGCGATTTCGACCTGATCATGGTTCCTGACCGCTGAGGTGACTGCTTTCGCTGAGTAGCCTCTTCGGCTTCAATCACCCCTAATTCGCTTTGCACCACCAACACAACCCGCGACCATGAAGGGCAAGAAGTTTCTCAGCCTGCGGGACAGGAATGGCGCCCATCGCAGGAGCAAGTCCTCAGAGCCAGGACAGAAGGTGAGTTTGCGACCCCTGGCGCTATGATCGTGTCTTCACATGCTGTTTTCGTCTGTTGAGAAGAACTGGAGGCTAATTACCTGTTCCCTCGCACTAGAGCCGACCACTGTCAGCCGAAGCCTTCAGATCCCTTTTCAAGAGCAACACCGCCCAACTACCAACCGACGAGGAGCTGAAGGAGAAGGAGTCTCAAAAGGTACGCCAAGTCGCATTTTACCCACAGGACCTTGACCTAATTGCGACGACAGGTCGAAGATATCAAGAGCAAGCTTGCCGACAGCAACGTTACGGACGTCTCCGAAGAACATATCCGCGATTCTTTGCACAGCGAATACGCCAAGCAAGACGTCAACAAGACCGTCGAATTTATCAAAATGCAGTGCAAGGCAATGGCTGGCAAGATCACACACTACAACCCCCAGGTCGAGATGGTCGGTGCAGAGAACAGAGGCAACGTCACTTGCTACCTCGACTCTCTGCTGTTTGCAATGTTTGCCAAGCTGGACGCCTTCGAGTGCATGCTGAAAAACGACTTTACGGACGAGCCAAGACGCAGATTGGTCACACTACTGCGACTATGGGTGAACATGCTGAGGAGCGGAGAGATGATCCACGTAGACATGGTAAGCTGGTTCTGCGCCTGGAACTCCTTTACTGTTGCTAACCGTAGAAGGCAAAACTCATTCAGGATGCTCTCGCCGACTGCGGCTGGAGCGACGCCAAGCTCCTCGAACAACAAGATACCTCCGAAGCCTTTGCTTTCATTACCGAAACGCTTCAACTCCCCCTGTTACAGCTACAAGTCGACTTGTTTCACCAGGGAAAGAACGACAAGGACGACCACAAACTAGTCTACGAACGTTTACTGAACCTGGCTGTGCCCCCCGATCCCGATGGAAAAGGCATTAGGTTGGAAGATTGTCTGGAGGAATACTTCAATACACAGGTGGATGTGCTCAGGGACAGCCACGAAGAGAAGAAAGAGCTGGCACAATCAACACCGAACAAGAACACAATTCGTCTGGTAACCCCAGAAGGTAGCACCGACTTTGAGGCAGCGGACGTCTTGAGTTCTTCTCCTCTGCAGCTGTCGCCAGCTCTCGAACGGCGCTGGACAGCTTCTCAGGCACCAAATGGCGTGCCAGAATCCCCCAGCGGTTCTTCGCGTCCCACCCCAAGGCACCGCTCAACTAGTGTAATCCAGCGAGTCGTACTAGAAGAGAAGGAAAAGCCGGAATCCGACACGCCAAGCATGTTGGAGAAGGCGCGACGGACAAGCTCAACTGTGGTTAAGGCTGTGACTATCCCTGCCTGGCAGTTTTTCAGACTAATTCCCTGGCATGCCGCCGGGAACAAGGAGCCCAAGAACGACATGGAGGTGGCAATGAACTTCAGCCAGCGGCCTGTCGTCGGAATTTGTCTGAAGCGGTACATGATGACCAACTCAGGGATACCACAGCGCCAAAATACCTTCATCGACATTCCAGACAGTCTGAGACTGCCTCATTTCATGCTTGCTGGTGAGACGCAGCTCGAAGAGGACCCTAATGGCTTTAGCATGGAATATAAGCTAGTCCTCCAGTCGGTGGTCTGTCATCGGGGAGACTCGCTTTACAGCGGGCACTATATTTCGTTCGCACGAGTAGCGCCGAAGCTTCTCACAGACAACAGACGGCACGACCTCGACCCTCCTCCCGATTATGAAGAAGCGCAATGGGTCAAGTTTGACGACTTGAATATCGAAAGCAGAGTCACCTATGTCGACGACATTAGACAAGCACTGAAGGACGAGATGCCCTATTTGCTATTTTACCAGATCGTACCTATGGTGGAAGTTGCCTCAACGGAGGAAACCGAGACGGAGCCGCCCTCTTACAATGAGTCCAAGGTCAGCATCAACTTGCCAGGAACGCCAAACCTGCAAGAGGGCATCAACTCGGGATTTCCTTCCTCTAAAAGCGACTACTTCGAGAACACCTCCATCTCACCACCAAAAGCACCAAGCATTCGATTCTCATCAGACCTTGAGAGGCCTAGTCGTCTGAGTCTTGATGATGAGCCGTATGGTCTGGGCTTCAAGGACTCTCGCCGCGGAAGTGTGACCTTCACTGACTCTACCTTGGGCACGCCGGCCATTACCCCTGAGGCCGTGTCGCCAGCAATCACACCAAACGGTGAGGAGACAACGGCGCAGCGCCTGTCCCGCGCTGCTGCACGTTTCACGGCGAAGAACAACAAGAGCAGACCAACAAGCCAAGCAGGCGAGGGGCGCATCAGTCTTACTATGACTCGACTTGGAGGGCTCATGCGGACAAGCAAGGA